ACACACATTTTATTATTTATTTATTCATTTTTCCCCCTCAAAAGTGAGTTGGATTTTTTAAATGTCTTAATTTTATTTTACTGAATATGAAAAATACATGTTGTTTTTGGTGTTTAATTTTTTAATTTATTATAGTATAATTTTCTTTTTGTTCCAAACTAAATATTATTGTTTTTGCTTGTGTTTCCCCCCCCCGGTAGATTAAAAGTACTATATACAATATAACAGGGCCATCCAACTGGCGGCCAGTGGGCCATTTCCAGCCCGCGGGTGACTTCAATCTGGCCCACTTCATAAAGGAAAAATGTGTGTGTATATATATATATATATATATATATATATATATATATATATATATATATATATATATATGCATTTGTCTTTTACCCACTTGTCTGGCAATCAGTGTGCAGGGGGTGTGGTACACCCCAGACCAGGATTTGAACCAGGGACCTGTTCACTGTGAGGCAGCAGCTCTACCAGTTGCGCCACCGTGCTGCCATATAATTGTGGGCGTGTGGGGGTGTCTGGGTTTGGGTTTTGTTTATTGTATTTATGATCCAATGCAATAAAATAAACACATTTAAAGGTAACAGATCATTGTAAAACTTGGTTAATTAATGATTTTAATTGCTGGATGTTTGGCCCCCGGGCTGTTGGCTTTCAGAAACTGTGCCCCCCTAAGCAGCTTTGTTGAATAGCCCTGCGATATAGTACTTTCGATGTTCTTTGATTTGTTTTATCTGCACAGGCGAAAAGATAAGGCCATGACATGGGAAATGAAAAGTATTTTCTAAAAACCAAGCAAAAATAAAAATTTTATCAGATGAAGTGTTATGTTTCTGTATGTGCATTAATTCTTTGCAGAGTTATACTTGTTTATCCTTCTTATTTGGGAAAAAAAAAAGATTATTTACAGGTTGATCCAAATAACGAGTCTTTACCTAAATAGTGTCTTTACCAGATTATTATTTATTTTAAATAAAACACGTGCAGCTTTACAAAAGTAATGCTTCAGACGGTCCATTGATCCTTTGGTGAAAGGAACAAGACATTCCTCACAGTTTGACACTGAGTCAGTTCATCTGCTTCATGTTCCAGTCTTTCTGTGAATGTCTGATGCGGGGCTGTTGTCAAACGCATAAAGCAAATTCCTGGAACAAAAACAGAACCAGTCGCTACTTGTTAGCTCATCTCTCACATGCAGCCCTGCACTCGTGTCAGTGTGGTTGTTGGAACGAGGCGTTCGCTGAGCTCCTGTAATGAGTCCAGTAACGCTGTCTCAATTCATAGCCTGCAGTCACATCGCTGCTGCAGACTGGAGACGAGCTCCACTTTGCACTTTGAGTCTTAAAGCAGCTTTTCAGCTTTATACGACAGAGTTTACAGCAAATTCACCTTCAAAGCGTTGGCGGCCATTAAACAGAGCTCTAAAAACATGTCGAGAAGAAGAAGGCTGCAGTTGTGTGAACGTTGCATCATTTCCTATCAGGAAAAAATAGAAACTGTGTCAGTGTTTCCAACATCTGACACACGGTGACAAACATGACGTGCTGCTGTGAAGGATGTTCATGCTATTAACGTGGCCTGTTGGCACCAAACGTGTCTTAAAGTCTCACTTTGTGTCGTTTGTTGTGTGTGTTTCAGAGCTGTGGGTAAAACATGTCTCCTCATCAGCTACACAACCAATGCCTTCCCCGGGGAGTACATTCCTACTGTGTGAGTGTAACACACACACACACACACACACACACCTCTTCTTCTGCATTTATTTCCACAAAGCCACACGTAATAAAACAAGAGAAACTGATTTTTCCATGACGATGCAGTGCGAACGCTAAATGTTGAAAGAGTTTCTGAAATTTACAGAAGCCGACACTGAGTTGTTAAATCTAAAAGAAGCTGAACACCAGCTTTAAGCTAAAGAGCTAGCTAAAAGCTAAAAATGGTAAAAGCGCAGCTAGAAGCTAAACGTGCTAAAAGATTAGCTAAAAAAATGAAAGTAACAAAATAGTAAAAGATAAAAGTAGCAAGTTAAAAGTTGCAAAAAGTTAGCTAAAGGCTAAATGTAGCAGATCTGTATGTAAAAATGCAGGAAAATAACATGAGAGGACGAAAATAGAATAAGCATTAAAAAAAAATATCAATATAGGCAAATGAGAAAAAATGTTTGTCGATAAAGTTAGATATTTTGAAAAGTATAAAAGTTGCAAAAACCTAATAATAAAAGTCGTTGCACAGCACATGAGCTGAATGTTTTACTCTATGAATGGCTAAAGTAACAAAAGTCCTTAGATTGAAAAATATTGTACAGAAAATAAAGTTTATTTCAAAAGGACATGTTTTATCTGATTTGCAGTATTTACTGACAGGTTTAGCCACACGTTGTCATATATAAGCTTTTATTAACAGGGTTTTCCTCAGCATTATCAGTTTTCTGGTTGAAAAAAAAACTAAGCAAATGTTTGAACTGAGCAGAAGAGCAGAGGTGTGATAAAGGTAAATGAACCAAAGTTGAGAGTCTTAGTTAATTTTTAATGTTATTTGTGGGTTTTACTAGAAACTATTTTTATTGCTTTAAAAACAACTTTCACCTGTCATTTAATAACAACAAAAAATATATTTCACAGCAACAACTGTACTTTTTAGTGCTGAAAAACACAAGCTAAAGAAATAAAACTCCCTTTGTTTGTCATTGTGTTGCAGTGTTTAATTGTCACTGCTAGAGGGCAGTGTTGCTCCATAACTGGAGTGTTACAGAAAAATGGTTATTTTTATTTTTTTAAGACAATAAAAACAATAAAATGCTCCTAACTTTCAGAGTCAACCCATGAGCGTTAGATAGTCCATTTATATTGTTCATTGTTGTTATAATTTTTTAAAAAGGTTTTCATTTAAAAAAAAGTTCAATTTTATTGCCATTCTAGAGTTTGCTTATAAACTTCATTTTTTTCTGTAACACAACCTCTTATTTAGGATCACTGACGACACCATGATTCATAATTTGAATTGTTGTGACGGCATGTGTGTGTCTCATTAATCCCGTGATTGATTGCTTAAATTAAACGCTCGGCGGTTTATTGACTAATGACTGACCTTTTGCGCTCCTGACAGATTTGACAACTACTCAGCTAATGTGATGGTGGACAGCAAGCCGGTGAACCTGGGCCTCTGGGATACAGCAGGACAGGAGGATTACGACAGGCTTCGCCCACTGTCCTACCCACAGACGGTAGAACAATCATTTCCACTTGCAGACGTCGGATCCAAAAACCAAACCTATTTAGTTCCCAGCTGTGAAGCTGAGAGAGTTTAAATTGTAGCTGTCGAATCCACAGCGTTCTGACTGAACTGAGTCCTCGGTCATTTAACTGACAGGAAGAAACCTAACAATGTTCTTTAAGAAGGTGCAGGCAGGAAAAGGAAATTAGGTGTTAATAAATACAAGTATGACTGAGGGGCAGGTTTGGGAAACGCCGCTACTGGAATGTTGAGGGGACAATTTGTCCTCCTGTAGATTTGATCAACATGTGATTGATCCTACAAGTGAACTGAACCAGCAGTTTGATGACCAACATTAATTATTATCATTTTAAACATCAGTAGATGTCATTTTTTTTAACTTGTTCTAAAACATGTGAACCATGTGTGGCTGCTGGGTTAATTTAATACAATCAATAATTCATAAAACTCAATCCATTTTTAATGTAATCTAACACATTCAGCCATGTTTCTCCTAAACTACACTTCAGTCACGTTTTAATTATCATCCATTAAGATAATAACCCACAGATGATCCTTTGATTGCATGCATCAGTGTCTGTGTGTTTGTCTGTTAGCAAAATATCTTATGAACCAATGAATAGATTGTACTGGAACCCCTCGGAGGCCATCACTGGAGATACATCTACAACTGATTCAGTCTTGGAGTTTACCTGATCCAAGATGGCTGCCACAGCTAATCGGCATTATCTCACGCAAAAATGATTACATTATCACTGAACTTCGGTGTGATAGTAGCTGAGAGTCATCTTGAACACACTAATAGACTACACAAGATCTTGTTTAAAATGTTGGCATGCAAAGAGGCAGGAAGTTCTTCCAAAGTTTCAGTTTGTGTGATTTACCAACATGACACAGTATTACTCATTTGCAGTAAAATAAGAAGTAAGAATGTGACTCATAAGAAAATGATGTTGTGTAAACCCCACAAACACCCATTAACTGTTGTTGCATTGTTTGTTTGTTTCTCCACCCAGGATGTGTTCCTGATCTGTTTTTCCCTGGTGAGCCCGGCCTCCTATGAGAACGTCAGAGCTAAGGTGAGTCCCACCTGTCTGTCACGCATCATCTCCTGTCACAAAATGGGCAGCTGAAACACAGAACAGAACCAAAATTAATTATTATTTATTACATCCAAATATATATATATATATATATATATATATAT